AGGCATATGCGTTATGCTGCTTGACCCGACAACGGGTATAAAAACAAAAGGGCTCGCAGTCGGAAACGTTTCCTTCTCTGCGTTACACACATCCACTTTTACCGCAAATCTAATATACCCCATAACTCTTTTTTGAGTACGGGTATAAAAACAATTTCGGTTCAAGGGACCAAAAATTCTAGAACCCACACACAAGCACAGTATGTTAGCATTAGGTTAAGCCAAAAATATGTTTTTTTTTTTTTAATTTAAACGGGAGATCTTAATTTTGTTATCTTTGGTTTGATAGTAATATTAAAGTTTTTATTATTATTTAAAACAATTTTATAGAGGTTGCTGCCGAATTTTACAAAATTTTAGGCAAGCAAATTCAAAAAAAAATTTGTTGCTGAATGAGTTGGCTAATTCAGTGAAATCTATTGCATATACCTATATTGAAACCATTAATATCGTCATTAATCACTTATTGGCAGTAAAAAACCTGCACAATTTTTTGCGAACTAGTTAACTAAATATATCAACCTCAGCTGAACTTCTTGATTTACACAACTAGTTAATTTTTTAACAGTAAGTGAGAGCGAAAATAAAAATACCTTATTATCAATATGAACTAGTTTCAATATTATTTGAAAAAACCGACGAAATCAATTTTTTTTAATGTATATTTAACCAAAAAAGTGTATTTGTATATAAAAATTGTATAATTTTATTTACTAACAAAAAACAGAATAGGGGGTTGTCCGGGTTTTTCTGTTTTCGTTGTTGGAAATGAAAAATTTCGTCCAAAACGCATTTAATTTTGCAATATAACATTTTCTTCATTTTTTACAACGCACAATAGACTATTTTTAAATAAATGAAACACTGCACTTACCTGATAATAATTTTGCCCAAAATAAACAAAACCTGCGTCTCACTTTTCAACGCACAATTCTAACAACGTTGTCGACGCCGACGGCAAAACCGAATTCTGTTACGGCACGCGTCGTAACAGAAAGAAACAAAGAAACTAACTTACCTACCAGAATGCTAGAGGCTTGCGTAGTAAGCTCAGTACTCTTTTCCTTGAGAGTCTCGCATTCTCATCCCACGTTATTGTGTTCACCGAGACCTGGTTAAAGCCGGACATCCTTATGTCGGTACACAATTTTTAGAAATGACTGTTCGTTTCGATGTGGAGGTGGGGTCCTCATTGCAGTGGACTCAAACTTCACATCAGAACATTTCATGGTCCAGGTTCAACAAGACCTGGAATTCCTGTGCGTAAAACTGATTCTCCCAGGCTTTTCCATTTTCATTACTTGCTCGTATATTCCACCTTCCTCGGATATCTTAATATACGAGCATCACCTATCCGCTATGATAGTTCTTGGTGATTTCAATTTGCAGGTACTGTTTGGTCTTCGGTAAACGAGTCTAATAACCTTGTGCCCATGTCACGACATGACTTTATCGACGTCTTGCTAGACCTATCCCTGTCTCAAGTCAACCATGTGAAAAATTCCTTGGGTCGATTGCTTGATCTGTGCTTTGTCTCGGATCCGACCATAGCGTTGTTAACCCGAGCCCTTCCGCTCAGTATACCTGAAGACTCCTACCATCCTACATTCGAAGTGTCAGTCGATATTGGCCCAACTGTGTTGGATCGAATGGGTAGGCTATCTGAACGTGTCCGCTGCTTTCGTAAAGCCGAGTTTACGAAGCTTAATAACCTTATTAGGGATTTTGATTGGTACTTGTGCACTGACGTTATGAAAGGCACAAACATTTTTTGCAATGTACTTGACACATTTTTTGATTCTTGTGTCCCACTTTCTTGTCCGGTTAGATCTGGAAAGCCTCCTTGGTTTACCAAAGAGTTATCCAGTCTAAAAAATTTAAAATCAAGACTTTATAAAAAATTTCGAGAAGTTGGTTCTCCCTCTTCTCTTTCTCACTATGTAATAGCTCGGTCAAATTTCTCCGTTCTTAACGCTCAATGCTATAAAAACTACCTAACTCGATGCAGGATACGATTTTCACAGGACCCTAAACAGTTTTACAGCTTCGTTAATAGTAAGCGTAGAACGTCCGCAGATCCATCCTCGTTATCTTTTCTCAATATGTCAGCAAACAATGATCAGGCAATTGCCGATCTTTTTGCCAAATTTTTCCAAACAACCTATTCTCATGAAAGCTACTCTGGTCAGCCGTATCCATACAGTTTACCAAGGTCGAATGGCATGCTCTCTGCTTCATGATCTTCGACTAGTTAAGCCGGTGTTTTCACCAGGTACCGACGGAGTTCCCGGCTGTGTACTTAGGTACTGTGCCGACGCTCTGTGTGGACCCTTGCTTAAACTATTCACCCTATCCATTAACTCTTCATACTTCCCCCCCATCTGGAAGGAATCTTTTATTATTCCGCTCCATAAGAAAGGTAGCAAGTCTGATGCAAATAATTATAGAGGTATATCTAAGTTATCCGCTATTCCTAAAATGTTTGAAAAAATGTTAACTCCGCACTTGCAAAGGCTTTCAAGGTAACTTGCAGACGGATGTTATTTACACTGATTTTAGTAAAGCATTCGATTCTGTAAACCATTCCCTTTTAGCACAAAATCTTGACCTTTTAGGGTTTCCGCCTAATCTTTTGAGATGGATTTCTAGCTACCTTCGTTCTAGGTCTCAAAGAGTCCTCTTCAAAAACACATTCTCTTCACCTGTTAAGGTTACTTCTGGAGTACCACAGGGCAGCCATCTAGGCCCCCTACTATTCACACTCTTTATTAATGATCTGCCTTCAGTATTAACAAACTCTCGAGTACTCATGTATGCGGATGATGTTAAACTTTGTGTCCAGTATAAGGACATTTCATTTCACTCTCGCTTGCAATCCGATCTCAATAACTTTCAATCATGGTGTTGTGCAAATATGTTACACCTAAATGCCTCGAAATGCAAAGTAATGACATTTCATCGCTCCAGCCCCTTTTGGCTCCTTATAGCCTCTGCGGTGGTTCTCTTGAGAGAATTACCTTGGTTGATGATCTTGGTGTTAAATTAGACCCAAAGTTAAAGTTTTCTGAACACATTTCTACCATGGCAAATAAGGCTATGGGTGTGCTTGGGTTTATAAAGAGGTGGTCAAAGGAATTTGACGACCCCTATATAACGAAGACTCTCTACATCGCTTGTTCGTCCGATTTTAGAGTACGGCTCTTGTGTATGGTGCCCCCAGTACAAAGTACACCAGGACCGTATAGAATCAGTCCAGAAAAACTTTTTACTTTTTGCTCTGCGTGGCCTTAACTGGGATGCAGGTGTGAGACTGCCATCTTATCCTCGTAGATTGCTTTTAATAAACCTTCCAACCTTAGTTAGTCGTAGAAAAATGCTTGGTGTGATTTTTATGCACAACCTGATCAAGGGTGACGTAGATAGCCCTGACTTGTTGAGCCGCATAAACTTTACGATTCCTATTAGATCTACTAGAAACTTCATTCCTTTGTTCCTTCCGCTTTGTAGATCGAATTATTCCTTGCATGAACCATTTAGGGTACTTTGCTCGGACTTCAATTCCCTCTACCACATAATATCAACTACTAATTCCCTTCCTCTTCTTAAATCACTAATACTAACATACCTTTCCCGTAATTAGTTATATTTTTTAGCTATCTTTGCATGTTTAGCGCTTTGAGTTGTGTTTAGCTCTAATTTTCCTCGAATTTTAGTCTAACACCTATCTTTCCTGCATGCTCGCGATCGGTTCGGTAACACGCGTCGCGCGTCATGCGGCAGCGCCCCTCGGTCGGTTGGGCGGGAGGAGGGCTGCGTTTCTGCCTGGGTTCCGCGCGTAACAGGCTTCGGCTTGGTGTCGCATGGGCCACTTGATGGTGCAGTCATTGCATATCAACGTCCAGACAAAGAAAAAAAAAGAGTTTGGTCTTACCGACGCGTCGATCGCGACGTCGACGTCATATTCTACTCGTCTGTCGCAGCGGCAGAGAAAAAATCCTGAATGACGCGTAGTTGACATTTGTCATCGCTCACTTCTGGTACTGCAGGATAAGAATTGATAAATATTTTTTCATGTCTGTGTACACACATACATTTACAATTCTCGGCTTGCTTTCGCATCTCGTCATGAATTCAACATGTCGAAAAAAATGCCGAGCGTCTCAAGTCCACGACCCGAACGTCTCAGGTGCACACCCGAACGTATCAGGTCCACGAGCCGAAGACCTGGAGACAGAACATTCAGCTGCACCACATTCGTTGTATGAACTAGCACTTCTATATAATGTATGGTTAGTGGCCTCGGGCAGGCTCGGTAGCAATAGAATAGACAACATTTCTTAAGGAACTGTTAATTAATTTTCTATTTACGTGATTTGTTACCGATTTATTTTCGCTCATTTTTACGAACAACTACTGCTTTAACAGGCTTATGCGACGCGCCATGCTTCTTTTGCAGATGTACAGTTTTTCACATAGTTTATCTGCGATGTCTCGTCTTTTAAATCAAACTGTGCCTTTTGGGCATCATTATCGTCTTCATTTTTCACTTCTCGACACTTCCCGCAATATAATTCTCTTTGTCGAGCATTCAATCAGAATGGAATGACGAACCCATTTTCACAAGTTCAGAAAGTCAGAAAAATCTATTTCAGACAGAAATTCTGGGCCCATAACCTATTCGTTGTATTTATTTGTGACTAAATATGAAGAGCAAAAATATGTCCGTCAAAGGCAGACGGAAAACAAATCAACAAGGGAACGCAGCTGCATTGAGACTCATACACACATACATATGTACTTATTCGTAATAATGCAGGACAGAAAGAAAAATAGAGAATACACAGTGCATTGATAAAGTTTAAGTATTCAACAGTAAGTTACATAAATCATATGCTGGTATATATCATGACTGGGTACCAGGTATAGAAAAGAGCGGCGGCCTTTGCCTCGGCTCACAACGTTTCCGCTAACATGTATCTATAAATATAATATAATATATATAAATTTTGGTATCCACTTTATTTATTTTCAAAGTATTTAATGCATACGAAGCGATTTAATTATTCTTTATGTGAATGTGAAGTAATTGAGAAGTCCAAACGTAATAAAACAATTGTAAATAAAAATATGACATAAATAAAAGCACTAACCAGTAAAGGTTCTTGAAGCAATGACACCTTTTCAAAACTATAATTAAGAGTAAAATCAGAAATGTGACTTTCCACCAAATTAGACTTGGAGAATGTAACAACCGGGCGTCCAATCGTATCTAAATAGGTGTGCACTAGCTCATTTGGTCGGCGACTTATTTGATATGGCGTCGAGAATTGTATTTGTGTGGACCCCTCTGGTAGAATAATATTTATAATAGCTTCATCGATAACCATATTATCATAAATATGGTCTATTAAGTGCATCTTCAACTGGTATTTGTTGCCATCATTGTACATATATTCGTATGAGGGAACATTATAGCCAAGAGTATATTTTGTTTTCCATCCACCAAAAAGAGGAAACCGTGGCCTTAGCTCAAGTTCTATAAAATCGCGAACTAAATTCATATTTGATGTCGATATATTGCCGTTTGTGTCTCGGTAATAGACTCCAGATGCAGAGGCCGGTAAATACGTTTTATATGATTTTACAGCAGAGTGATCAGAGCGACCTTCCTTTTGAAAATCGTATCGGGAAAATGAACCTTTTAATTTAGCTCCAGCGTGAGTCAATTGAATTTCTTCCTTGACTGCGATGTTACCCCAATGAGACAATTCAATATTTCGCTCCAATGCGTTGACTGTTATAAATGGCGTTTGATTTTCATAATGAATAACTAACTCTTGCTGAGATAAGGCTAATGAAAATTTGAAAAAATAAATATAATTAGGCAAATGGATATTACAATAAAAATATATTACCTTCAACATCTTCGTAAGGCCCTAAAATAATTTTGTTTGATCCTACTGAAAACGGCTTTAATTGGGTGTGGAATAGTATATTCGAAGAACTGAGTTTAACATTGGTTTTCTGCATGATAGTCTTATATTTTGAATACAAATATAAGCTTCCATTATATTTAACTAATTGCTTATCATTTTGTTCAATTTCTTCAGGATGCGCTCGTAAGTTTTTAGAGGAGACTGTCTCGATTACAAAAGATTTCTTGGGAGATCCTTTTGTAAAAATAAGCGTAAAAGTTTGTTCACCATGAATATTCTCCTTATTTTTTCGTAGCTGGATATGTTTCTCCGTTCCGTCTTTTAAAGAAATAAATGCAAGATTGGGCTCCGCTACGAGAAACACGTATTCGGTTATGGGTTCGCCGGTTGTGTCCTCAGCTGAAATTTTGATAGTAGTCTTCACAAGTTGTGAAGATAAATCCAACACTCTTTCTACATTCGTATTTATTATTTCTGCATTCGTTTTTGAGTTACAAAGAAAACATTGTAAAGTGAAGAAAATGAAATATAATAATTTAAACATGGTTATATCAATGACACGTAAATCAAATAGTGATGTAAAAAAGACACTATCGATGGTTGCATCATCGATAAGTCAGACTCTGGCTCTCAGAAATATACTGAAATATACCTTCAAAATTGCAAAATATAAGCCCAGTACTGAGATCTACTAAATTTTTTGTCGACAAAGGGGGCTATATATTTCACTCGGTTTCCAGCGTGATCAAAAGAGTGAAGAGTGTATGCTCTACGGATACACTGTTTTGTGCCTGCTTAAGCCTAATACTCTCTGCACACTGAGTCCATCCTGGGGGAACGGTGGGAATTTTTGAAAGATGTGAAACACCGATTCACATTGACACCATCCACCATCCACCATCCATGAGAAACAGCTGTTGCTCACATTTGCGTGCGGTGAAAAAGTTGTTTACTTTAATTAAAATGAATATAAATAACATTTCAATGGTCGTGAATGTGATTCAGCAGCAAAACATATTCTTGCACAAGCTAATCATGTTGTTGGACATGGACGATGATGATGAGGATAACTTTGACGAGGAGGAGATAATAGAATGGATATCTGTTTTGAAAACACTGAAGCCCGGAAGGTTGTGGTCATTTGTGAGTGCTTCTAATAAATGCAACCAATGTTTAAAGTACAAACATATATGTTATGTTTTTCAGAAGCGGTTCGGTACATTTTGGGAGAAGGATGTACCCGAAAACAACGAGGCGTTTTTTAAGGAAATTTTTAGGATGGAGAGATCCTGCTTTTCTCTGTTGGTTACTCGCTTGGAAGTGCTACGGAAGAAGGACACAAACTGCCGAGCTGCAATTCCTCTGGATCGCCATATCTTTATATACTTTGGGATCTTCTTCTGAAAAGAGTGTTTTTCGGAGTGTCAGCCAACAGCGTCTGCAATATCCTGCATGAGTTTTGCAGAGCATTCATCAACGAATTCTCAGAGGAATACATGTCCAAAAACTATCTCACTTCAGAGAAAATTGACGAGTGTGTCCAAGCATTTGAAGAAATTGGGTTTCCTCAGTGCCTGGTGCAATTGGTAATAATGCAATAAAATCATCCATAATATATGTATATACAGCCCCCCCCCGGCCCCCCCCCTCACTACCCGTATATGTAAATTAATTTTATTACTTAATTTTTATGTTAGATGGATGTCACATCGAAATAAAATCACCTGCAGCTGATATTTGATATTTTTTATTTTTTGCGTGCTTTGTGAGATCTGATGGGGTTATTTTGTTTTATTTTTATATTTGCCTGTCTGTCATTGTTTACATTTTCGTAGTGATCTCCGATTTTTTGTTGTGAAATATGGTTGCATTTGACAATTATCGAAAAAATACCGCACTGAAACGTGAGAAATAGGAACATCCCAGATGGATGGTGGAATAACTGGGAAATTTTCGGAACGGCAAAACCTTACGGACCATCCCAGAAATGGATGGTGGATGGTCCCCAGTGTGAAAAGGCTATAATACTCAGATACAAAAACTGTTTGCTAGCAAACAAATTTCATATATTCTTCTAGCGGCCAGTTGTGTGACCAGAGGTGTGCACTGCCTTCCGTACGGTTGCACTGCTCAGACAGCTGCTTGGTTTTGTTTAAAGTTAACTAAATGCACTTCTTCGGCTGGCGTCGCTCTTCCCCAGGCATATCCTTTTCTAGTATAAACCGACATTTTTGTTGTTGATCTAAATACTGCCTTCCGTACAGAGCCTAGAAAACAGTTTTTGCCTGAAAAAATTTCTTATCGGTTTCATACGAATATCAACCGTGATTCTGTTCCTTCGATACACTGTGGAGCGTCCATACTTTATTTATTTCTGTCACATGCAATCCAGCTTGGAAGAAGATACTGCAGCTTTTACTTCCTGGTAAATCGTCAACGGATCGGCAAGATATCGCAGCACGTGTTTTCAGAAAAATGCTAGTCACTCCGATAGTCTCTATCAATACAGAAAATGAAAAAAAAAAAAAAAATTATTGACTATTCACGGGTATATTTTGGCTATTCTCGTTCTGAGAAATTAATTCTTCTATCTCCAGCCGTTTTCTTTGCTCATCATCAGTCTCGGGTGCTGTTGTTCTTTGTTCAATTACATCATTTTAATAATATATCATACAATTTTCAAAACTCATAGCCTGTTTACTCAGTTTTTTTTTACAAAGGTTTAGCATAGGAGCCTAGTGGTGGCAAAAAGTTAAGTTATGGTTGCGTTTCAGTTGCGTTTGTTCGGTCACTAACCATACAGTCTATAGATGTGCCAGTTCATACAACGAAAGGGGCGCAGCTGAGTTTGCAGCGTATGTTCCCAGATCTTCGGCTCTGGGAATGGCCGCGTTCGGCTCTGGGAATGACCGCGTTCGGCTCATGACGTCACACGATCCGACTGGCAGCAAGCATGCATGTGTTGTGTACGTGTAACACTCCAAAATATATGAATATATGCATAAAATAATTTTTAGCTGCCGAAACCGACTTTGCTCGAGATTTTAGTTTACGTAAATGTGTGTGTGCCATGTGTTCTCACATTCTGTGCTTGTGTGGGTTCTACAATTTTTGGCCGTTTGAATCGGTTTTTCGTTTTGTTTTGAGGGCTGATGTAGCGACCTGAGCTGACCTGCCGCAACATAAATGAGGAATGGTCAGAGTGGGTGGGGCTGGGAAATAAATACAATATATAAAAATAAAGGATGTTATCTCTGCTCATATCTTCTAAACTAAAATTATCTTGAAAATTAGATTCGCTAAAGCTCTGGAAAATGTTCTACTAGATGTGTACATTTATTTTATTCAAAAAATAAAATATTTTTTCGTTTTATTTTGAAAATGGAGGGCCCCAAATTGATGGTTGCCCAGGACCCGGTTGAGGGTTGATCCGGCCCTGCATAGGTCGATTTTAATTTTAAACTTTATAATTTTAAGTTCTTATTTGTTTGTACTGTGTGTATTTACATTGGGGACTCAGGTGAAAAGAGGTGGCAAAATTAAAAAATATTTTATGAACGTTTTGAATAAAATAAATGTACACATCTAGTAGAACATTTTCCAGAGCTTTAGCAAATCTAATTTTCAAGATAATATTAGTTTAGGAGATATGAGCAGAGATAAAATCCTTTATTTTTATATATTGTATTTATTTCCCACCCCCACCCACTCTGCCCATTCCTCATTAATGTTGCTGCAGGTCAGCTTAGGTCGCTGCATCAGCCCCCCCCCTGCAGTTCCAAAAGTCACTTTTCACACGTGATTCATTCGGTGAATCACTCATGGCATGTCCTCTGCCACTGGTGACTCACTGGTGAAACTCCAGATTAAATTTGTATGGACATGTCCGCTTTTGTCACTCGTGAAACTTCATATGAAATTGTCACTGAATTTTCTAGTGATTTCACCGGTGGCTTATACGTATAAGCCAGGAGTGAAATCACTCGGAACATGCCACGAGTGATTTCACTGGGGAAACTCCCGAAAATGTCCTATATGAAATCACTCGTGATTCATCCGAAATATCCCATATGAAATCACTCGTGACTCTTTTGAAATGTCCTATATGAAATCACCTGTGAGACTTCTCATTAAATTTAACGGAATTTCACGGATAATTTCATAAGTGAAAGCCACCCAAAAATTTCTTTAAACACTTCATTCAAATAAAAGTAAATATATTTATTTTACACAGATTTTCTAGATTTTTCATTGATTTAATTATTTTTAATTATCTGTAGGGCCTTTCTTAACTGACTCGATCAGGTTAATAAGCACCAATGCTCCTGAAATGATATAAAAAATAAAAATATTTAGCCACGGAAGGTAATATTTTCTGAACTAACTTCTGAGTTATGTTCAGATTTGTATAAAGCAATACACATATGAAATTTGATTTTACCTTTGAGGCATTTTAAACAATTACTCCTGGACTAATATTTTGATTTTAACTTCAGAAATGTTTTGATCTGTAAATAAATAAGTCAATTTGTACATATATATTTTTTAATTAAAAATGCTGTATTTGCAGTTACATGGGTTTCCTCGAGCAAAAACAAACACTCGCAGCGACGCGCATGGTTAACGGGACCACACCGCTTGAATCTAGAATCTAAACATATTTGTTCTTGCGAAACCCATGTACAAATTTAATTTAACTAACAACGCGCACTGTAATCACTGAATCCACTTACCTGACTTTAAAAACACTGAAAACCCACTTTTAAAAGGAATAAACATGTAAAAAGACGCTCAACTCAAAAAAATCACAGCAGCTCGCAACAAAAGATTGCACCAAATAATCGGTTTTTCTCCCCTCATCCCTTTGAGGAGACGAAATTTGCGAGAGTAGAAGAGTTAGGGTCGAATGCAGGTAGAGAAAACTAAAAATATGAGAGAGAGGGAAATCTATGGATATCTGCTTCTCTTTCTTACGAGTCAGCTTCGATCTGCAGCAGTTGAAGCTGGTCAGAATTTCATGCTGACGTCGACGTCGTTGCCTTTGTCGACGTCGAGCCCGAACAATTTTTCCTATGACACTTTCATGCCGTGACAGCCAGAACTGCAGGGCCAAAACAAAAGCGGCAAAAACTTGTAGAACCCACACAAGCACAGAATGTGAGAATACATGGCACACACACATTTACGTAAACTAAAATCTCGAGCAAAGTCGGTTTCGGCAGCTAAAAATTATTCTATGCATACAATCATATATTTTGGAGTGTTACACGTACACAACACATGCATGCTTGCTGCCAGTCGGCTCTGGCTATACAGCTGCTACCTTGCACCACGACTGTCGCTCAAGGAATTCGGCGCCATACTCGACGAAGTAGCAGACGACGCAAGGGGACGGCCAAATGTCATCCTGGCAGGAGACTTCAACGCGTGGTCAGAGGATTGGGGGTCAAGGTTAACCAACGCTAGAGGTCACACCCTCCTAGAAGCCTTTGCCACATTGGAGATAACCCTTCTAAACACGGGATCAGAGGACACGTTCTCCCGAGCTGGGACAGGGTCAGTCATTGACCTGTCCTTCTGC